AACATTCTGCAGCACACCAAAATATATATATTTTTGCCAATCTGACAAAAAAAATAGGTATAATTTTTATTGATTTACAACAACAACAATAATAATAATACAGCAATTACTTACCCTTTTTGCTTCAAGTGACTTTTAAAAAAAATCAGGTGTCTATAGCTGTATCTAAGGATTCTGGTATCAACAATTAATCAAAAAGGTGCAAACTGCCCTGGCCAGTTTGGCTCAGCGGTTAGAGCGTCAACCTGCGGTCTGGAGAGACCCGGGTTCGGTTCCCGCTAGGGGCACGTACTTCGGTTGCAGTTTGTCCCTGACCCTGGTTGGTCATGCGGGTGGCAGCCACTCGATGTGTCCCTTCACGTCGATGTTTCTCTCTCTCTCTCTCCCTTCCTCTCTCCCACTCTATCTGTCCAAAAAATGGAAAAATATCCTCGGGTGAGGATAAAAAATAAAATAAAATTAAAAAGGTGCAAACTTATTATGCAACATGCCTGATAAGATACATCTCTATTATGTGACATATATTTATGGTTCAAGACAGGGCATTCAAATCTTTTTTATTTGACAATCTAAGGGAAAAGAAGTCAGTACCCCTGACTAAGTAGTAAGGCATTGCATATGAAATGAGCTCTTTGATGAGAAGCCATGCTGTTCAGAATACCAAGATGATGGATAAAGCATTCCCTATGTACAAAGATGGTAGGGCTGGCTGCAGTATTATGTTCAGGGAAGGCAAATCCATATTCAGTATACATGTATATTCCAGTGAGGACACATCTCTTCCTCCTCTCTGAAGAGGTCCGATGTAACCAACCAGCCACCAGATGGCTGGTTGGTATGCATGGGGAATGGTGGTCATATGAGGGGCTTAGTGTTGGCCTCTGCTGTCAACAGATTAAGAACTCAGCAGTGCCAGGCTGGTGTGGCTCAGTGGACTGAGCATTGTCCCATGGATTGAGAGGTCCCAGTGGGGCACATGCTCAGGTTATGGGCTCGATCCCCAGCAGGGAGCGTGCAGGAGGCAGCCTCTTATTTGTTTTTATTTTTTATTTTTTTATCCTCACCCGAGAACATTTTTCCATTTTTTGTACAGATAGAGTGGGAGGGAGAGAGAGGAAGGGAGAGAGAGAGAGAAACATCGACGTGAAGGGACACATTGAGTGGCTGCCACCAGCACGACCAACCAGGGTCGGGGACAAACTGCAACCAAAGTACGTGCCCTTAGCGGGAACCGAACCCGGGTCTCTCCGGACCGCAGGCTGACGCTCTAACCGCTGAGCCAAACTGGCCAGGGCGGCAGCCTCTTATTTTTATATTCATGTATTTGTGGAGCATGAATTAAGTAGAGATCAATGTGTCATCCACCATAAAGGGAACAAAGAACACAAAGAGCACAGCATGAATGAGATACAGACCCTGCCTGACATGTACATGAGTGAAATAGAAATGTCTTGAAAGATCTCAGATTTCTACTGGGGGAATGGGTGGATGGTGGTGCTAGTCCAGGAGATAAGGAGAAAAAAGAGGTGAGTGTAGAGAAAGTGAGAAATAACTCATGATTAATTTAAGGTGCTTGTGAAACAAACAGGTAGTGATGTTTGGTAACAAGTCAGCCCTGTGATGAGGAGGTTCAAAAAGATCAGGCTCAAATAAACCACAGAACTTATATGCATGTATGCATGAACAATGGACATGGACAACAAAGCTGGGGACAGGGTGGGGAGGGAGGGAAAGTAGGGAATCAGTGGGGGGGAAAAGGAGAATCACCTGTAACAAAAATAAATTAATTAATTTAAAAAAAAGATCAGGCTCAAGATATAAACTGGAACTCATTAGTGAGAGATGGTAGTTGAAATCTTTTAGGTGGAAATAAATGAGCTAGCCCACAGAGAGCCTACAGCATGAAAAGTACAGGAATCAAAAGCAGAACAATGGAGAACACAAATAATATGCGGGATTGCAGAACAAGAGGAATCGAAGAAGGAGAAGACCTGAAGATAGTATAGTAATGGAAATGAAGGACAGAGAGTTCAAAGTAGAAGTACCATAGTAAATAATGTGAAGTGCTGAGAAGATACAGACTAAACTAAGTACATTAAACTTAGCAATAGAGAAGACAAGTGAAGGGCTGAGGGTGGTAGTCTCAATACAAAAGGCATAAAGGGGAATAGGGGGTGCAATTATAGTTGATTCTCAATAACTGATGTTATAATATGCATATTTTAAAAGTCAAACGAACCTAGAATGGACAAGGGCAGTCCATCCCCCATCCCACAACCATGCCCTGCTCCCCAAGACTATATCCACATCCCTAAAAACTTCTAACCAGGTGAAGAAATACAATAATGAAGGAGAAGAGAAGATTGTGTGAATGTCTGTATAATGTCATTATAGAGTGATTGCCCTCCTCCTTCACTGTTTTTTAAGTGGCTTATGAAGTTCATAGGGAGCTTAATATACTTACATAGGGGAAGCATTCAGATATAGAGCGTGTTTGATATTTATTTTCACATACCTTCACAAAATGTCCAATTATGTACAGGTGTTGATTATAGCATCTTCTTCAGCCTCAGATTCAGTCTATCAAGAAAATTCCCTCAGATGTCTACATAAGCCACTGTCAAATCTATTCATAGTTTTTTTTTTCTTCGTACCTCTCTGAACAACACACTGTCTACCCAGTCAACTGTCAGTTTACCATGCAAGCAAGCACCAGCCTCCTGTTTCCTGAAGCTGCCTCCATTCTCACCTCCTCTGCGTTAGTTCAGACCACCATCAGTTGCAGCCTGGATCTTTGCAATAGCATCAGAGCTATTCACCCTGCCTTGAATTTTGTCCCCCATCAAATCTATCCTCATGTCGCAAACAGAATTCTATCTGAATTACAGGTATGTTTGTGTCACTTCCTCAAGACCCTGCTTAAAATTTTAGTTCACAGCCTTTTCAGCCAGCCTGCCAAATCTTTTAAAACTAGACTCTTGCTTACTCTTCATCCTTATCCTCAGCCACTCATGGCCTGCAAATCCAAATGTTCTATACTGGTCCCTCAATCAGAAATGCATCAACATTCAGTTTTCCCCATCAGCTGCAATCCCAGTCTATCCATCCCTTTACACAACACCTCCCTTTCTTTGGGCTAGCATAGCATCCTGTAGACAGCTCCATCAGAACATCTGCCACTTTGTTTGGAATAATCAATTTCTATACCCTTCTCCTAATTAAACAGTTCCTAAAGAGCAAGACTCTGTATATTACATTTGAATTCTCAGTGTTTATCATGTATCTGGTATATAATAGACGCTATCTCTACTGGGACCTTGTTCCTGCTCATTCCTTTCCACTCCACCCTCAAACATTAATAATAACCAATGGACATAGACAACAATGCTGGGGATGGGGTGGGGGGATGGGGAGGAGGGAGTCAATGGGGGGAGGAGAAAGGGGAAACATCTGTAACAAAAGCAAATTAATAAAAATAATTTTTTTAAAAAAGCAAGCAAACAAAAACCTGTCCTTTATCTCACTTACTGTGAAACTTTTATAAGCAATCTTTTACATTTGCTCCTTTTCTTTTCTTTTTTTCTTTTCTTTTCTAACTTTAGCTTCTTGGCTCTGGCTATTTGGTGGAATTAGAACCCATTAATTCACCTGACCTTTTGCCAAATCCTATAGCTTTTCACGGTTCCTTATTCTCCTTGCAGCTTTTGACAGCTGTCGATTTTCTGCTTAAACCACCTCGTACGATTTCATACCACTGCCAGCATTGCCTTGGAAGAATTGTTTTAAATTCCTCATTGTCTTGAGTCATTTAACCCAACCATCATCAATGAAAATATATTTTCCTTCTACACTTTGTGCCTCAGCAACAAATCTTGTCTAGTGGAAGCGAGAATTTCTTCAAATTTAATGTTGTTGTGGGTTAAGATGCAAATGTCTCCCCTAATTGCCTAGGTTGGGTATAGACTGACTAAACCAATCTTTTCTCTCATTACTTCAGACTTCAGTACTAACATACTTTTTTCTTGGTCATACCCAAAGAGTATTTTTCCCTCTCATTATTGTTTATTAATTAGCAAGTGGTGTTTATTAAATAGCAAGTGTCCTCCCTTTTCTAATTCTCCACTTCCTTATACAAATACATTTCCAAGAGTCCCTGGGCAAGGTGGGTGGAGGAGAAAGCCAATATGTGAGGCTGTGGCCTTGTAGCTTACTGAGCTCCAAATTTAATTAATTAATTTTTAAAAAATATGTTTTTATTGATTTATTTGGAGACAGAAATAGAAACATCCATGCAAGAAACATTGATCAGCTGCCCCCTGCACGCCCCCTACTGGGGATTGAGCCCGCAACACGGACGGGTGCCCTGACCAGGAATCAAACTGGGACCTCTCAGTCCATGGGACGTTGGTCAATCCACTGGGCCACATCGGTCTGGCTCCAAATTTATTTTTAAACTGACTTAAAAGTCTCCGAGGAAGTATATACATATATATTGGTCCCAAACTATACGTGAACAGATTGTCTCGACTTTTTAAAGAGCCATTAGGTTCTCTCGGGAAAGCATGGGTGGGTGGTCAAACCTATTCCTTAAACCATCAGTCTCGGAGTACCAAACCTCAAGCGGCCACGGAACCACAGGGGAAGTTGTGCCGAGCCTCGCAAACACAGGAGTCTCCCCCTCTCTGTGACCATAGGCCAAGTCTCGGAACCCTTGGTTTTATTCTCTGTAAAATAACCTTACTGGGTGATTGAAAGAGTAAATAATGTAAGTTAAAGTACTCCGAGAAATAACAATGCTGGTTTATTTGAACTGGGATGTGAAGCAGCGGGATGCCCACCCGTCGAAGTTATTATCTTGGGGAGCCGCCTCTCAGAAAGCGTGAGGCGCTGGCGGCCTGTCTCCATGGCAACCGTTCCGCGATCCCGGGCCCCGCCCCCAACCCGACGCGAGGACCGGAAGCAGCTTCCAGTCCCGCGCATCCCCAGCTTCTCCCCGGTACCGCGGGTCCTCCTTTCCGGCCCGGAGGTGAGAGCCGATGCTTCTTCTCTGTCGCTAGGCCGCGGGGAGAAGCGCCCGTCACCCGGGAGGTGCGGTGCCACTTGGTGGCAGCCCTCCCCTTCCTCCGCGCCCCCCTCTTTATATCCCTCCCCACACCCCGGTATCACGCCCCCAGCGCTTCTCGCGGCCCGGATCTGGTCCCCACATCTCTCTGCCTCGCACCGCACGTCCGCGCACCCACTCTCCTTGTCCCCCCTGCGGCGCCTGCCCCTCAGCTGAATCCACTCGTACCCCACACCCCGCGCGCGCTTCCCTGCTCCCCGCGCACCCGCTGCTGACGCCCGCGCGCCTCCTGCGGTCTCGCGGAGTTTGGTGCCTGCCCGGGAGGGGCGCCGCGCGGTAGTGGACCCCGGCGGGGTGTGGGGAGGGGCGTTCCGTCCAGGCTCCGTAGGTCGCGAGTTCTCCTGGAGCCGGCCCACCGGAGGAGAGAGTTCGAAATGAGAGCTGGTCTCTGCGAAGACCCGGGATCCAGGCCCTCCTGCGGTGTAGTTCCTGCGGTGGCGGGTGTCGTTCCCTGGTCTCTGGTGTAAAGCTGAGCGCAACTGTGGAGACCGCACAGTTCAGCGGCGACTCTCTCGCCGTAGACTTCAGAGGCAGCGTTTTAGCTTAGGGGCCCTCAATGTGACATCCCAGAATCCTACCAACTCTTGGCCTCAACCCTTCCCACTGCTCCGGTCTCCACCCCTAGACTCTATTGCAGCCCAGGATCATCTAGGTCTGCTGCCCCTTCTCTGAGCTGGGACTCCTGCCTCCGGCCTCTTGACCATGCAGCAGTGGATGTGTGGATGGCCTGGGTTCCGACGCCAGCTCTGTCCCTTTGCCCATGGTCACCTTACCTGAGCTTGCCGTGGCAGGTTTCTCATCTACAACATGAGAATGAAAATATCTATACAGGGCTTTCGTGAAGATTTAACTGAGTTTATATTTAAGATTCTCAGAACAGTGCTTGGCTGTTATCAGTATCAGTTATCATTTGCAGTGTGTCACCTCACTGTGTAAGTTGTATCATTTATTTGGTAACGCTAGTGTCTCTTCTGCTGGAGTACAAGCCTTTTAAGAAGCTTTGCTCGGGTCACCAATGTATCTTCAGTGCCTAGAACAGTGCTCGGTGAAGTAGAGGGGGAAATGACAGACTACATAAAGGAAAAACGGGCACGTATACAATTTTTAAAATTTGTCATCAGATACTAGCCACCATTTAACTGATGACATCGAAATGGTACTATGTAAAATGGTACTCAATAAAATGTTATACTAAGAAAAGTGACTTTCCACCATACTCCTTCCTGCGAACAAGCTAATGATACTTGGAGGAGTTGCTGCTCTCATACATAACTATGTTGCTGGTGGCATTGTGAATTGATAGTCTTCTCTGAAATTTATTTGATAATACATAGCAAGACAGAATTTGCCACTCTCCTTTGGCCTCAGTAAGGCAAAACCTTGGGACATGCTTGAAGAAAATTATTTATGTATTTATTTACTTATTTATTATCCTCACCCGAGGACATTTTTCCATTTTTTGTTCAGACAGAGTGGGAGGAAGAGAGAGAGAGAGAACATTGACGTGAAAGGGACACATCAACTGGCTGCCTCCCACATGACCCAACCAGGGCCAGGGACAAACTGCAACCGAGGTACGTGCCCTTAGCAGGAATTGAACCCGGGCCTCTCTGGACCGCAGGCCGACATTCCAACCACTGAGCCAAACTGGCCAGGGCAAAGAAAATAATTTGAAAGAACAATAGTATATTCATGAAAATGCGCTTCTCAGCATTATTTATAATAGTAAAAACTAGAAACAACCTAATACTCTACAATAGAGATATAGTTAACCAAATAATATAGATGTTACAGTAGAAGTGAGGAAGTAGAAATGAGAATGGGAAAAAAAATGGGAATACATTAAGATAGAGGGATTTGTGATTACTTTTTTAATGGTTCCTTTAATGTCAAAATAATATTTTAAAAATTAGTAAACATTTAAAAAAATACACACACAAGTACTTCTCTCATGAGACAATTTCCTAGAGCTCTTTGCAGCAGGCTAGAAAAAATTAATTGGCTCTTTGAGGCTGTCCCAGAGTCAGAACTATTCCCAGGCTTCCCTATTTCTGTGTTCCGGGAGCTCCTATGCAATCCTGGCTGGTCTCCTATTGTGATATTTAGTCAGCCTTGTGTGCATGATTTTCAGAATAAATTGGGAATTACTCATGCATATGACTTAATGTATTGTAGCTCTTTGATTCTCTTAAAGAAGGAAGTTCTCTTTGAAAGCATGATTTATGTTAAGATTAAGAGCAGTATTTTTTGGACAGTCTTGTTTCTAGTCTTAGTTGTATTGTTCTAAGAAGCATTTATCTTTGTCTTTTTTCCACTTGTTCTTTCATCATATTTAAGGATTGTCCATAAGGAGAGCTTTCCCTCCTTGAAAATTAAAGCCTAGCAGTCCTGAGCTATTAGTCCAAATGTCTGCATCAACTCTCCTTCCACAAACTTCAGAGGAGCCTGATAGCATTCTGGTAGTGAAGATGGAAGGGAAAGAGGAGGCCTGTAATCTGGAATCCAGCCTCCACTGGAAAAGCTGCTACAGCCCAGAGACTTTCCGCCAGCGGTTCAGGCAGTTTGGCTACCAGGAGTCCCCTGGGCCTCGGGAGGCTCTAAACAGGCTCCGGGAGCTTTGCTGTCAGTGGCTAAGGCCGGAGGTGTACACCAAGAAGCAGATTCTGGAGCTGCTGGTGCTGGAGCAGTTCCTGGCCATCCTGCCAGAGGAGCTGCAGGCCTGGCTACGAGAGCACCGGCCAGAGAATGGAGAGGAGGCTGTGACTATGCTGGAGGAGCTGGAAAAAGAGCTTGATGGGCCAGCAGAGCAGGTGAGAAGGTGTCTGTGGGGATGAGTGCCCAGGCTGAGTCAGGAGTTCAAATTGTACTTCCATTCAACTGGTTGTGTGGTGGGGTAAATATACTCCCAGCTATGCCAGAAAAGAGAAGTTGGCTCTGCTTGTTTCCTTTCTTTTCCTGTGTCCCAGGATTTTTTCTACATAGTTTATTCTCTCTTACTTTATCCTGAAGTCCCAGCCTAATTTCCTCTTAAGCCTCAGATAACCTAACTTTCCAGGTTTTTGGACAGAATGCAGAGAAAGTGGCAGCTTGGGAAATCACTCAGGAGTCTCCAAGTGGCCAGCCCAAGCCTGCGAAGAAGCAGCTGCAGTGCACATCACGGGAGCTTCACTCCTCCAGACAAAACGGTGAGGGGCAGGGTTTAGTTCATGGTGTGGGGCAAAGGTGGCCTCTCAGCCCACTGCACTGCTCTCTGCCACAGGTCTCAAATCTCCCCTCCTGCCTTCTCTTCACGGTGGGAATTCCTACCACTCTGTGTTGTGCTAATGAGCATTCTCAGTATTTTGTTCTTGTTTCTTTCTCACAGATTCTTACAAAATCTTCAGATTTTAAAAATTCTTGGCATTATCTCCATCAGGATTGTCATACCATTTTTAAGCAGCATGACCCTTTTCTCGAATGAAATTGTACATGGAACCTGAGGCCCTTCTCGGGGACTCTTAAGGTCATAGTCTAAAGACCATTGGTCTACCTCATTTTTTGTGTAACTTCTTGCTCAGTTACTGGTGGGATCCAGTTTCAAAATCACCATATTGCTACAAAGGTGACTTTGCTCTCTCACAGTGCTGTGAATATGATTCTCTATTCTTCCCATTCTAGCCTGGCCTCTGTTGCTCTTTGCATCACTTTTTACAGAAGTGCTCCAAAATGGCCAGCATAGCAATCTGTTCTTTCATTGCAGATACTAAAAAAAATAAGTACTGTGGGGTGGGGGTGTATTGGTGGAGGGGCACAAAACAGATAAGGGAGATACATGAAGTGAGGACAAGGTCTTATTAAATACAGCGATGGAGAAAACCTCTCTGATGAGGTGACAGTTGAGCAGAGATCCTCCTAGGTGATCATCCTCGATAAAAATAGAAGTCAAAGATGAAGAGGGAAACCCCAGTTGAGAGCGGAGATCTCCTCTCTCCCACCATTTCTGTATTCCAGGGGGTGGCTGATAAGCTAAGCAAGGTTAGTTTTTCAATGGAATTTGGATAAGAAACTATAGGAAAATATATTAAAATTTAGAGAGACATTTAGAAAAGATTTCTCACTCTTATTTGACAAATATATACTCTTAAGAGGCTTGTACTAAGCACTTAGCACCTCCAGTCTAGCAATTGCCTTGGCTTAACTAGGAGAAAAGTGGAAGTCTTTTCACACCCCATCAGGATGGGGAGGGAAACCATCCAGCCTCAGGGCTTTGCGTGGTAATAACTAAAGTGAACAGCCGCAAAGCCAAGTCCTTGGCAAAACCATGTTCTACCAGTGACTGTCCTCACAGAGGCCTTTCTTGCATTTTTAAAAAAGATGCATAGAGCCCTGGTTGGTTGGCTCAGCAGTTAGAGCATTGGCCTGCAGTCCAGAGAGACCCGGGTTCGGATTCCGCTAAGGGTATGTACCTCGGTTGCAGTTTTTCCCCGGCCCTGGTTGGGTCATGCGGGAGGCAGCCACTCGATGTGTACCTTTCACATTGATGTTTCTCTCTCTCTCTCTCTCCCTCCCTCCCACTCTATCTGAACAAAAAATGGAAATAATGTCCTTGGGTGAGGATAAAAAAAAAAATTAAAAAAATAATAAATAAATAAATAATGAATAGAAATTTTAAACCAAAAGCAGAAGGCCCAGAATCTTTTTTTTAACCTTAAGAAAAAAATCAATCAACCTTATTGATTGATTTTAGAGAGAGGGGAAGGGACAGAGAGAGAGAGAAACATCAATTTGTTGTTTTACTTATTTATGCATTCATTGGTTGATTCTTATATGCACCCTGATTGGGGATCAAACCCTCAAACCCACAACCTTGGCATATTGGGATTGGGACAATACTCTAACCAACTGGACTACCCAGTGAGGATGCAGGAGCTTTCAATTCAAGGCAGAGAGAACCAGAATCATGATAGGCTAACAGAACTATTTCTTTATTTTCTATTTTATTTTATTTTTCTTTATTTTCTATTTTATTTTATTTTTTAAATCCTCACCTGGGGATCTTTTTCTATTTATCTTCAGACAGAGTGGGAGGGAGAGAGAGGGAGAGAAAGAGAGAGAGAGAAACATCTACATGAGAGGAACATATCGACTGGTTGTCTCCTGCACGACTCTGACCAGTGCTGGGGACAAACTGCAACCAAGGTACATGCTCTTGGCCGGAATCGAACCTGCAACTCATTGGTCCAAGGGCCGACACTCTACCACTGAGCCAAATCATCCAGGGCTAACAGAACCATTTCTTAAGGCTGCTATATGATTTCTGTGATACAAGGTCATGTCATATCAAAGTTTTACAGGTGATATTGGTTTCCATGCTGTCAAGTGCTAACTATTGCCAGGATTTTGATAGTAGTGACTAGACATTGAGGTCACTTTGGAATTTGAGCTCCTTACCATTAATAAGATGCTTTCTATTTAAACCGGTAATAATGCCATTCAATTAGTATTATAAAATACATATAAGAGTAGAGGTTTTTTATACAGGGGTATTCTGTCCTACCCTTGTTTTCTTGAGGTGTTGTTATCCTAGTCTGTATTCTCCCACCACACCTTTTTCCTTTTTTGCCTAACTTGTATTTGTCTGTTTGTTTGTTTTTGATGAGAGAGAGACATTGATTTGTTGCTCCACTTATTTATTCATTCATTGGTTGATTCTTATATGTACCCTGACTGAGGATAGAACTTGCAACTTTGGCGTATCAGGACGATGCTCTAACCAACTAAGCTATCCAGCCAGGGCTTCTATTTTCTTTTTGACTCCTTGGCTTTCTTCATCTCCTTCCTTTGTTTAATTATTCATTCATTTATTATTATTAAACTTTGTTTTGTTGGTTGACATTCTTGTTTATTACTACCTACTGCCACATTTTAGTCCTCTCTTTCAGTTGCTCCTCTGCTTCTCCAATAATTCCTCCTCTTTGAGGCCCTTCCTCTTTTTGTCCAGACTTCCTCAGTCTCTGACATATCTTTTTACCCCTACTCACCATTCTATCTTTTACATACAAATTTTCATATTTCTAGTTGACAGCATCCTTAGACTATACATTTCTCTTTTTTTTAGAAAGTGAGAGGAAGGGAGAAAGAGATAGAAATATCAATGTGAGATAGAAACATTGATTGGCTGCCTCCTGCACTCCCCCTACTGGGGATGGAGCCAGCAACACAGCCATGGGCCCTGACTGGGAATCAAACCAGGACCTCTGAGTCCATGGGAAGATGTCAATCCACAGAGCCACACTGGCCGGGCTCTCTCTTTTTTTTAATCCTCACCCGAAGATATTTCTTCGTTGATTTTTAGAGAGAGTGTAAGGGAAGGGGGGGGGGGGGAGAGAGATCAGTGTGAGAGAAACACATTGATTGGCTGCCTCCCACACGATCCAGCAGGGGCCTGGGATCAAACCCTCAACCTTTCAGTCCTCTGGCCTATGCTCTAACTGCTGAGCAAACTGGCCAGGGCTAAATTTTTCTCTTTTGTTTATGATCTCAGTATTTTCTGCTTTACCCTCTCCATCCTCCACATTGTGATGCTATTTTGCAAACATGCTAGCTAATAAAAAATCCATACGTATTTCATTTGGATCATTCTGTTTTCTTTTTTAAACAGAGAGCTGGTGACATTTGCTTTTTTGTATTATTTCAGATAAAGACACTAGAACTATAAATGTGAAATCAGCTTCGAGGCAAAAGACTTCTTCGGACATAGAGTTGCATCACAATATTTCTAACACTGTTCATATGAATGCTTCCCAAAGCTTCACATCTAGAGGAACTGGTGAACAAAATGGCATGTTTGAAAGAAGACATAGAAATCCTTCTCGAAAAAAACAACACAAGTGTGATGAATGTGGCAAAACGTTTAGTCAGAGCTCAGCCCTCATCCTACATCAGAGAATCCACAGTGGAGAGAAACCTTATGCATGTGATGTGTGTGCAAAGGCTTTTAGCCGAAGTGCAGTCCTGATTCAGCATAGAAGAATCCACACTGGGGAAAAACCCTACAAGTGTCATGAATGTGGGAAAGCCTTTAGTCAGAGCTCAAATCTTTTCAGACATAGAAAAAGTCACACTAGAGGAAAAAGTCCCATCAGTATTGTGAGGGAATCGAAGCATTTACTCAGAACGTTTTCAACAGAGGAAGAAGACATAAGGCACAAACAACTTCTTAGTATAGATCAGTGGTTTTAATGAGCACCAGTTTCCTTTCAAAGGTCATAAAAGTCACAGGAGAGAATAGAGACTATCTTATGTCAGCATTGTTTGTTTTTCTGCTTATCAACACATCAATTCAGATGTCTGAGATTCTAAAATTTAATTCAGATTTTCATCCCTAGGGTAGCTCTTGAAAAGGCATTCTTAGACATGTTCTGCTATTTCTAGTCTTAGCACAAATGATGAAGTTGAACAGTTGACCCTTGAACAACATTGGTCTGAGCTGCACAGGTCTACTTTATGTGGATTTTTTCAATAGATAACACAGTCGACCTTCTGTATTCCTGGGCTTCTACCAACTGCAGATTGAAAACAGTATTTTCGCTCCTGGCCAGTTTGGCTCAGCGGTTAGAGCGTCGGCCTGCGGCCTGCAGAGACCCAGGTTTGGTTCCCGCTAAGGGCACGTACTTCGGTTGCAGTTTGTCCCCGGCCCTGGTTGGTCGTGCGGGTGGCAGCCACTCGATGTGTCCCTTCACATCGATGTTTCTCTCTCTCTCTCCCTTCCTCTCTCTCCCTCCCACTCTATCTGTACAAAAAATGGAAAAATATCCTCGGGTGAGGATTAAAAAAAAAAAAAAAGAAAGAAAACAGTATTTTCCATCTGTAGTTGGGAGTCTGCAGATGCGGAGGGCCAACTGTATGCATTGTTCTACACCATTCACTATAAGGGACGTGAATATCCGAGGATTTTGGTATTTAATGGGGGTGGGGGGGGGTAAAGGGGAGTAGGTGATCCCGGAACCAATCCTCCACAGATACTGAAGGACAAGTGTGTATTTCTTTTTAGACAAATACATTTCCCCTGCTGAGAAAGAATGTGTTACTCAGTATAAAAATAGACATTCTCTTCCATTTCATACCTTGAGCATTGGAGTTCTCAGACCAAAGATTAAAGCACTTTTAAAATATTTTTTTAAATTGATTTTTAGAGAAGGAAAAACATTGATCAGCTGCCACTGCACACCCCCTACCAGGGACCAAGCTTGCAACCCCCGAGCAAGTGCCCTGATGGAATCAAACTAGTGACCTCTCTGAGCATGGGACTATGCCCAACCAACTGAACCACACTGGCCAGGGTAGATTGAGGCACTTTTTTTTTTGGTACGTGCCCCTAGCAGGAACCAAACCGGGACTCTTCTGGTGCAGAAGAGCCAAACTGGCCAGGGCTAGATTAAGGCACTTTTAAATTTTTTTCCCCATTTAGTTTTCTGTTACCAGATTCAAATATGAAAATAGGATTGAGGAGGCCCAAAAGAATATGTACTTCAACACCTAGGCTGAAATGTCCAAGGTCATTGTTAGGAGGCAGGTGAGTAAAAGGACTTAATCTCTTATGAAAACTCACAAGAGCCTACACATTACTGATGAGACAAAGAGATAATCTCCTTTAACCCAATGAAAACATTAAGATGACTGTATGTCTTCAGGGAGTGGCTTGAACATAAGGAATGTTCTGGTAATAAATTGGGTTGTCCGTGAGTGCTTATGTAAAGTTGATGATTATCTTTTTTTTTTTTATCCTCACCCGAAGATATTTTTTCTATTTATCTTTTAGATAGAGTGGGGGTTGGGGGAGGGGGGAGAGAGAGAGAGAAACCAACTGGTTGCCTCCCACATGACCCCGACCAGGGCCAGGGACAAACCGCAACCGATGGAACCCACAACTCCTTGGTCTGTGGGCCGATGCTCTAACCACTGACCCAAACCAGCCAGGTCAGTTGATGACTATCTTAATGGAAAGGAAAAAGGAGGTGAAAAAAAGACTGATGTAACACAAGTGTTGGGAAATGCGGTGTGTGAAGAAGTGCACCACAGCTCACCTGAAAGAGGAAACCCTTAACAGCTGATGACTGTCCTTCAGGGTTCTTCCTGGCCTCCTTGCTGGCATAAGTTAGCTGTGAACATGTTTCAGGCATCACAAGGCAGCTTCTTTAGGGTCTTCTGCATTCTTAACGAGTTCCAGACAAGCATTCACAAAGTGAGACCCTGGATGTGGATGCTCTTGTAGTAATGAAACCACTAAAGTCAATTTAGAATTCACCAAAATTTTACTCATATGCAATGAGATTCCCTGTATAAATATAAAATGATGATTTGTATGTTATTAAAGTTATTCTGATAGTGTACAACATAATCTTCCCTTTGCTAGGGAGTTTTGGTAAGACTGTGTTACGAGAATATATGTCTTGTGTTTCCCATGGTGTCACAGTTACCCAACATGGAGGCAAACAAGAAGTGAGAGTCCTTGGAATGGAAAAAGAGGGGGCCCCTAGTGAACTTCTTTGAGTGGGTTCCTCATGAAATATAAACATTTCATTATCAGAAAATCCAACTGTATCTAGTGCTTGGAGTAACTCTAGAAACACATGTGGGATTACTGGGCTCTGCTTAGTTATTATATTAATAAATAGAAGAGTGTGGGGGAGGAGTAAATGTAAATTTTAATTATAGAATTTTCTGATAGTGATTATATTTCATAGTTCTAGGGAATATGAATAGATATTAGGTTTTGTTTGTTTGTTTGTTTTTTATCCTCACCCGAGGACATTTTTTCCATTTTTTGTTCAGATAGAGTGGGAAGGAGAGAGAGGAAGAGAGAGAGGAACATCGATGTGAAAGGGACACATTGAGTGGCTGCCACCCGCACAACCCAACCAGAGCCGGGGACAAACTGCAACCGAGGTACGTGCCCTTAGCGGGAACCGAACCCAGGTCTCTCTGGACCGCAGGCCGACGCTCCAACCGCTGAGCCAAACCGGCCAGGGCGATATTAGGTTTTGTATATTTTCCATTATTAAAGTGTAGGGAGTCACTCGGGCCAGTTTGGCCCAGCAGTTAAAGCGTCATCCTGCAGACCTAAGGGTCTCGGGTTCAGTCCTGGCCCCAGTCAGGGTTGTGCGGGAGACAACCAATCAATGTGTCTCTCTCATATCAATGTTTCTCTCTCTCCCCCTCCCTCCCTCCCATGCTCTCTAAAAATCAATGAAAACATCCTCAGGTGAGGATTAACAACAACAACAAGTGTAGGGAGTCTATTTGGTGCTTGTTCTCAACATAAAGAGAGGAATAAGCCATCTATTAAAGCAGCAAATGCCTCAGAGGTGTGTGTACTGTGAATTACTGCTTAGTTATGGAAAGATAGTTTCTTAGGTACTGTGTGAATAAAATGACAGAATCTAAATCAAGTATTCTGAGGGAAGTGTCTGTATTCACTGGTTTCTACCATAAACTACAAAATTGCATTTTCTTCATTGTGGATAATCTGAACTTCTCTACCAGTAAATGATGTGAATCATATCATCTAAATATGTGATGAATCTTTAAAGGGTGTTGCTGTGTACTTGGAGTTATCTTGCACTTACAGAAGTCTCCTAATGAGTAGAAGATACTAGTTGATCTAAATGGAGAATTACTATGATGTGGGCTAACCTTGATAAAAATTAGCATGTTATAATCATGTTATAAAAATTAGCATAAAATAATCATTAGATTGATTAATTTTCACAGATAGTAAATACTCCAAAGTGAAATTGGTATTTTCTTTAATGAATTTCACTTCATCTGGGCCTTCGATATTATATCTATAATCCAATGTTCCTTTATTTCACTCCCATTCTTTTTGAAAACATGTCCATCACTGTCCTTAAGCCTTCTGTAGCAGGAATGCTTCTGAGTGCAAAATCCACCTTTTGTGGCTTAAGCAAATAAGACTTTGCAACCAGAAATCTGGAGGGTGAGTTGCTGCTGGCTTTCAATCAGCAGCTGGACAGTGACTGATCTGGCTGTTATATCTGCCCATCTTTTGGCCTTTCATGTTTACTTTCTCAGATGTTCAGGAAAGATGTCCCCGCTCCAGGAACGACATCTGAGGTTATGACAGGAAGAAAGTGGAAAGGAGGCATGAAAGTGGTTGTCTCCTTTACTAAGAAAAGTCAGTTTTCAAAAAACCCCAGCAAAAATCTGCTTACGTTTCCTTATTGCACATCTGGTAAAGCAAGTGTTTCTAACCTCTAGAGCAGTGGTTCTCAGCCTTCCTAATGCCACGACCCTTTAATACAGTTCCTCATGTTGTGGTGACCCCCAACCATAAAATTATTTTCATTGCTACTTCATAACTAATTTTGCTACTGTTATGTCTTAGGTGACCCCTGTGAAAGGGTCATTTGACCCCCAAAGGGGTCGCGACCCACAGGTTGAGAAGCGCTGCTCTAGAGGGAATGCAGCAGGTCAGATGGTTATTGGGAACTATGTTGGGTCAGCCAACAGTGTTTGCCATACTCCTTGGTCACCTTCCTCATTGTGGGCAAATGACAATGATTTTGCTCCTGCATTACAGAAAATAAAAAGATTACAACTCTTAGAACCTCCTACCACCAAATTTGCCAACTTATCTACACTTCACCCCATAATTTCTTCTCTCCCTCCTTTCTGATTGAAAGAGGGATCTCTCCTCTCTGGTCCAGCCTCCAGGCAATACTATAACTGTGCAGTAGCACAGCAATGGCAAAGGTCACTGAGAAGGCTCCTTATACTCAGACGAAGGGGAATCCTTTGCTCTGATTAGAGGGGCTTTGGTCCCAGGAGTATGGTGCTAGTCCCCATTGCCTTTATTCTGTGTCTTTCTCACTGCTTGGGCCAGGATGCAGACATAGTTGAGAGAAGTAAAAAGCAGAGCAGGGAAACTAAAACCCCAGCTTTCTAGCTGGATGACTAGTAATAGGGCCTCAGGGAGCCAGAGAGTGTTGGGTTTATTGCATAGAAGAAGGAGACCAAGTGTGATCCCCAAAAGTAGTGTATGAACTCCTCTGCTCACCTCTAAACTGCACATGCATGGATCTGACTCTAAACAGCAAACAACAGGCATTGAGAACTGAGCCAGAGTAGACTACCACCCAGAATCCAGAATGACCACTGGGTGGCATGCACAAAGGACAGATCCAAACTGCACTGGAAGTGTTTGAAAACAGAACTGACATTGGAACCACAGCCCATACAATGCAGATAAGAACTTGTGGCCTGACCCTAACTAGCAATTGCCTGCTAAAACAAATAAATCAACCTTCTCCCAGAATTTAGATGATACCCAGAATCTGATAACATAATTCAAAATGTACTGGATACAGCCCTGGCAGGTTTGGCTCAGCGGTTAGAGCCTCGGCCTGCGGTCCAGAGAGACCAGGGTTCGGTTCCCGCTAAGGGCATGTACCTCGGTTGCAGTTTGTCCCTGGCCCTGGTTGGTCGTGCGGGTGGCAGCCACTCGATGTGTCCCTTTCACATCGATGTTTCTCTCTCTCTCTCTTCCTCTCTTTCCCTCCCGCATAAAAA